CAGACAAATCGGCAGCCGCGTCCAAATGGTGTGCCCATCAATTCCACAGGCGCTGGGGCAGATCCCGCCTCTAATGTCACTCTTCGTGCCTTGGTCTCCACCAAAGAAGGTTCAGTCCTCATCTGCTTGATCTTGTCTGCCTTGGGCTTGGCCCACAACCACCCTATCGTTTTTGGTTGGTTTTTGTGAGCAATCAACTGACTCCTTGTGCTTCCTTCTACAGCCGGTGTTATCATCGGCAAGGGCGGAAAGACTGTTGCCGAGATCAGGGAACAGACCGGCACTAAGGCTGGGGTCTCGAAAGCTGTTCAAGGCGTGCATGATCGAATCTTCAGTGTCAGTGGTGGCTTGGAAGGTGTTAGCAAAGTCAGTTTCTCCCAAAAAAAACTATGTATACATGCCTCTCCCATACTTTCTTCCACCATCCTGATTCTCATCCTCAACCATCCCCACGATCATCCAGGCCTATGCTATCGTAGCCGAAGCTATCCTACAGAATCCCCTAGCCGCAACCGATCCCGCCCTCACCGTCCCACCACCCACCGCTACCACCACTATCATCCGAGTCCTGGTCTCTCATAACCTCATGGGCTCGATCATCGGTCGACAGGGGTCGAAAATTAAAGAAATCCAGGACACATCAGGTGTCAGGATGGTTGCCTCCAAGGAAATGCTTCCCCAGTCCACCGAGCGAGTCGTCGAGGTCCAAGGCGCCCCTGATGCTATCCGCGTGGCCATTCATGAGATCGGTAAATGTCTGATGGACGATTGGGAACGCGCTCATGGTACTGTCCTCTACCAACCTGGCGCCCTTGGTGCCGAAGGTCCCTCGGCCGCCTATCCAGGCGGTGTCCTCGCCGGTGGCTTTGGTGGCGCAAACCAGGGCTTCAGTAACGGCCGTCGTAGCAGTGCCCCTCTGGGTAATGCTAACGGAAACCCTTTGTCTGGGGGTGCTCGTCGGGCCTCGAACTACAATTCCACCAATATAGAAAACCCGCCCCACCGCTCCAGAGAAGGCTCACTTGGCGCCAGTTTACCCCCAGCTTCAACCGATCAAGTCTTACGTACCCAAAACATCTCCATTCCATCTGACATGGTCGGGGTAAGTGACCGATCAACCCATTCATGTGCTCTCTGCTCATACTCATCTCCTGCTCTTCTCTCAGTGCATTATCGGTAAAGGTGGTGCCAAGATCAATGAAATCCGGCGACTGTCGGGCTCTAAAATCAGTATTGCCAAGACACCTCACGATGAATCTGGAGAACGCATGTTTACTATCATCGGCTCACCCGAAGCCAACGAGAAGGCCTTGTTCCTCCTATACAACCAACTCGGTAAGTTCTCTGTTTCGCTCCTCGGTCTTGAGCGAATGCCCTGATTTGTCCGTTGTGGAGCGGCTAACTGATTGTTTTCAACAGAGAGCGAGAAGGAGAGGCGCGTGAACACTGTGCAAGAAGAAGAGGCTCAATGAAATGCATGAAAATGGTCTCCTTGGGCATTCCTAAACTATCACCTTCTCAACGCATTAATAATCATCTCGAGTTTTTCTAACAACCCCTTCCGTTTTTCCGGCAATCGGTGCCAATGCAACCACCATTTTGACCAGCTCGGGACACTTCAAAGTGAAGCAGTTTTCTTTCGTCTGATCCCTCTCCGTCCTCTCACCACAAAAAAAAATAAAACTCGCTAGGCAATGAGAATTATCTTTGGCACAAACAAATCAATGCCAATCAGATTTGGCTGCCCTTGTATTGCTTGTCCTTTACCCACCCATCCCCATTTCCATCCTCAAACATAATGATTATCATTCGGCCTAGTAATGCAATCTACAATCTCAGAGAGGAACTCATACATTCATACACAACACCTTGCTACCCTTATCCTTTAGTTTTTCCTTGCCTTTGTCAAATGCATTTGCCTTCTTAATATGTGTGTTTGAATTGATACATGTTCAAGTATCATGGGTCTCTCACCCTCCTTGGTCAGTATGACTCATGAACTGGGTATGGCCAGTATTGGTTTCTGTTGCTAAATTGCTTTGCTTGCCCCCACTACCAAGCCCAGGGGTATACAATTTAAGGCTGAGTCAAAGTGTTTGGGTATAAGATGCAAGTTCCATGAGGAAATGATAATTGTATTGGTGAGTCTATCCAGTGTGGTAAACTCTTTGTGGAGAAGGCTGGCTCTTCATACTTTATAAACCCATGATTGAGTCCAGTGCAGACTGGACCCTGGAAAACCCCCAAATATGTGGGTAATGTAAACCCCAATGAACAAAAACCCAGCTTGACTTTCAACCATACATGAAATTGGGATTGTTTCCTCATCAGGAGATGTACAAAATTCATACATTTTTTTTTTTAGTTTTTGGCTTCTCACGGGTCACTGGTGCAAGTTCATGACTAATGAAAATGAAAGCCAAGCTGGGTTTTTTGTTCATCTGGGTCTGCAATACCCACATTTTACAGCACTTTGCCAGGGTCCTGTGCAGACTATGTACTTAGTTTGGCAAATCCAGAGGCACTGCTTGCATGCATTTTCTACCCATCTCTGCTGGGCCCAAAGCAAAATCAATTTAATAATACCTGATTCCAGGCTTGGAAATCTGATAGTACCCTTTTTTTGGAAAAAAAATCATTTCAAAATAATTGGAAGATGATACATGAAATCTAGGATTGCTGCAATGTAGGGAAGATGCCAACAGTTGACAAGCTGGGAGATGTTGTCAAGGTGCTGTCAGTACCAGTGCTACACAGAAAACCTCCCACCAGGAAGACTTCTGTGATGTTGGCTCTTTTTCTGACTTGAATCAAATTGCATTTTCATTGCAAATTTCACTTGAACATTGCCCCCTGGACACTTTGCTGCATTCCACCAGGTACCCTGTGAAACAAAACTTCTGCTCTATCTCAGGCTCCTGTGAGATTTCCTCTACCCCAGCTTAACTGGTTGTTCACTGATATAATGCTTTGATATCATATTTCACGTGCAATAGCCTGGTTTACAATAGCCAGTTGCAATGGCTGATCTAAAAGTGGCTGATAGCAAGATTTTTTAGGATGGATCTGGAATAATCTGGGGGACTCTGGACTAGTCTACACATTGAAAAATAGATATGTTTTTAAGTATTAATGATTTGCTGATTACAGCTCAAAAAATTTGCTGATGACTGGCTATTAAGGGGGTTCATGTACTGCTGATTTTGAAATCAGCAGTCAACTTTGCTGGAATGGTAGTTTTAAGGTTTATGGGAAACCAAAATAGTTCAGTGTGAGGTCCCCCTGTGGATTCAAAATCCCACATTTAAAGTTCATCAGGTTTGTGCATCAGCAAGCAAACCTTAAGCTGAATCAGCAGAGGTTTGGCTGGAACGTGAACCCCCTTATTGTGAACCAGGCTAATGGTTCCCAAAAAGGATTCCCAGGCCCATAATTGCAGTTGCAAACCACATGTCACACCCCCAACTAAATCTCATTTCACATCACAACTAACAGTCACAATTGAACTGCCTTGGTGAATTAAAAAGAATACACCACATCCATGATTCCATTGGTATTACATTTTCTGCACTGAACTCCATAAATTTACATTTTTATAGATATCAGGTGATGTTTTTGCCTGTGAGGTTGGGGCTAGGTGGTTTGAGTCATTATACACTGCATCATGCGTGGATGTGACCTTCAATGACAAGCATGCACAATAATCTTACTGGTAGCCTCACATGATAGTGAGCTTGAACAGTTGTCTATGATTTGTTGAGATCAATCAAAAAATTTAGGCAGCTTATTGTGATCATTTTTAGCTGAGAGTTCTGAAGTTTACAGTCCCAGTCATTTTTTTTGGGCAGAAATCCAAATCGAAGGTTAATAAACAGTGATAGGATCTTGCCAGGGGCATCAATGACTCTGCTGTTGACAGATCAGCAAAAAGCAATTTGTTTTTTGCTTGCATCTGAATTGAGAAAAGAAAATAAGAAAAATTACAATTTGAGAAGCACGCGATGATGTACAACAGCCAGGACATGATTGATGTGGCACACCCCCTTACATCGGATACAATGGAAAAATTGTGTTGCCCAGCCTAGTCAGCGTTAGGCTGGTGATATGTGGCAGCCGGAAAGCTCACTCGGCGAAGCCAAGGTTGGCCCAACGAGCTTAAAGAGGTGAGATCATCATCGAAGCGTGATATGGGCACCACGCAGAGAGAGATAGCTTTGATCTAATCCGGGTCCCTTAGTATGACCCGAAATTGAAACAGGATTCAATACATGTGACTTTGATCGAGTCGAAACTCAAAAGGACTACTCACAAAAGTTCTGATTAGTTCATAGACTTCTGCATTATGATACCGCAACCGAGACTTGGGATCGATGTAGGGTGCCTGTGTATAAAAAGAGCAGCTATCAGCTTGATGGCAGCTCCCTAAGCCCCGTGCTCGAGAACAAGAAAAACATAAGCATACCTCTAATCCAGTTATATCGCAGTATTTCTTGGGAGGTATAACCGATGGAGGGGCTTCGATAATCATATCTGGCCCAGCGGAATATGAACAGAATGGGCGGATTCAGATCGGAGATGTAAATTTTGGGTGAGGTTGGAAGTCCGACTGACAAGTGTTATAATTCACATCAGGATTGACCGGTCCCAAGATCTCCCTTCTTGCCTTTTTGTTGACGGCAGGTTGTGATTGAGATTGTTGTTGCTGGTCGTTGGAGTTGGGTTGTTGCTCATCGGGAGCAGCAGTCATTTCCACGTCTTCATCGGGCGTTGGATTATTTTTCAGCAACACATCGGAGACGTGTTTGGCTCTTAGTCGTTCGGCAGCCAGGATTTGTTTGAGAGGTTTGTTTCTCCGGGGACCTTTCTTAATCTTGTCATCTTTAAAGGGTTTGGCGATCATCGAATATGACAGGTGGTCCGCTAAAGACTTGATGGAGAGCAGAGTATCAGTACCAACGCATTGTCGATTTACCGATTGATTCTTTCGAGTACTGACGGTAGCATTTGGGGGCGGCTCATTACTACCTCCAGCACCTGCCTTAAACCAGCTGGAGTTCCTACTGGATCCTTTGGGGGGTGCCCTGATGAGGAGTAGTAGAATGAGTCCAACGATCAAAATCAATCAGGGTGAACCAGATAAAGAGATGGTGACAGAGACTCCGATTTGACTGACATTTTTTGGTGGTTCGGTCAAAGATATGGCTCGGTTTGAGAAAGGAAATCGCAGGTTGCTGGACTGAGTAGCTACAGCCAGGTTCGAGTGGCCCGATGTGACGCCGACAATTGGCAGAGCGCTCGATGGATGGTTGATGGATGAAGCTGAGCAAGTTTCTCTGAGCGCCGTCGCCATACATACTGTGGGCTGCCGGTACGAGGAGGGACCAGACTGCCCATCGGAGGCCATCTTTCGCTCGGTGCGCCGATGCGCGTTGATTTGTTCGCTCCGTCAAACGTTTCCGCTACCTCAGCTCCGGCTGAAGGGCATGATAGACAACAACTCTCGGCAACCGGTTGGTACTTCATCTACTGCCTTTAATAGCTCCTTATACACAAATCAATACTCTGACAAAGGTGCCAACTTGCATCTGGAGCCATCTGGAGCCTGGTAGTGGTGCCCATGGACACTACTACGTCATATCTCAATCCTGGTTTCACAAAGTACCCATCCAAACAAGCATCAAAAGCCACATGCTTCCAGGCTATCACTTTTACACATTTTAACTGATTTGATCCAAGCTGGAAGAAATCTAACCAATTCAAAGTCAAATGAATAAGAAGTATCCATCATCAAGAATGTATCTGGACCCATCAATCTTTCTGCACATGAAGGAGAACTGCTTGAATTGCAAGTTGCTTGTGAATTTGAAATTCATTTTACTGTTGCTTATGCTGCTACTAATTACTAATTGGTTATTCGTATAGAGTGCTATTGCTTTGGTTTGTTACTTTTCATATCACAAACAGTTTTGGTTGTTATTTGATAGTGGGGTTCATGATTAGAATTTTTAAATATTTAAAGCCAACTTGAAGGTCTTTCTTATGAGCTGAACATAATAGGCCGGTTCACGTCTGGAGTTCAAGGCCACTTTCAACGCACTTGAAGATAAAATTTTATGAATTTTGTAAAATTTCATGAAACATCAAGTTCAGAGGAATTTGAGATTTTTGATAAATTTGTAAAATTTTAATGATAAATGTCATTAAACTTGCCTCAAAGTTCAGACGTGAACCGTCCTAATAGCACGGTTCACGTCAAGCAATTTAGCTAGCAGCCACCAGCTTGCTGGCATTGAAAAGCCAGGTAATCTTATGAAAAAAGGGTCCACCTTTTTGCACTCCAAAGATTTCCCCCGTGCACACCAAAAAAGGGGGAGTGCACTCCAACAATTCTTGGAGTGCACACCAAAAGGAGCAAAACTTGATGTTTTTGGAGTACATGGTTGTGCACTCCAAAAAAATCTGCAGTGCATGTTTGTGCACTCCAAGAATCCTTGGAGTACACACCCTTGTACTCCAAGATGTTACTTCCCAGGTGTTTTTAGGGGTGCAAATCCAAATCCTGCTTACTCCAATTTATTTGGAGTGCACATATTAGCTTCCCTCCAAAAATTTGGAGTGCTTTCTAGGAACCCCAAGGCTGACATCACACTCAATTCATGGTATTTTTGATTCATTGCGCTTGTCAGATTTTTTTTGTAATTTTTCTAAGCCATAAGGGCCTAGTCAACAGACAGAGAGAGATTTAAATAACCTTTTAGTATTGATCACCAATTTGCCTGAGTTTTGTTATTAATTGTTGACATTGTTTTGGTTCTTAGATCAATTAAAGTGAGATGGTTGTTTGGAGTATGAGATCAAGGATGAGTGTCAATGGTGGTTGGCTTCAGGGGATATGATATACTGAAGTCTGTAGAGTTCATCCTCATGGATATCTGGCAAGTCTGTAGAGTTCTAACTTAGGGCGCGTACCATAGCCGCCCGCGGACTGCCAATTTCCAATTTTTTTGGCAGTAATCGTTTTTGACCAAAATCACGTACCACAGGGGTCAGTTTTTTTGATGACTCAACTAATTGTTTTCTCACATTCGATGCCGTTTGAGGAAATGGCCCCACCCCCGTTTGCAAAAACGGACTGTGCCATCTTGTCTCCAAAGCAACCGGTTCAACCGAGTTGCTTCTTCAGAATCACCCTCAGCTCTCTTTCCTCTTGACTTCTGGCCTCGACTCCGACTTCTTGCCTTAACTCTTTTACATCGGTCTTTCAACCGAGTTGCTTCTTCAGAATCACCCTCGGCTCTCTTTCCTCTTGACTTCTGGCCTCGACTCCAACTTCTTGCCTTAACTCTTTTACATCGGTCTTTCTTCATGATGATAGGCAAAAAAATAAAAAAACTTGAGCAACCCTACGACTTGCTTTGGCCTGTGTATGACATATACTGGGAAGAAAGAAAGCAAAATAGTACGATCAATTGGTGGGATGAATGCAAATATGTGATGCATGGAGATGTTGTAGTGAGCAGCTGTTGATGATGAGTAATTGGGATGTGCTGAGGGATAGGTGAGATGTAGATGAGGTGCAGTTGGTGAAAACTGTGTGTGTGGTACACGTTTTTGGATAAGGCCGTTTTTCAACCTGTTTAAAAAAAGCGCAGAAAAAAAAACAGATGGGAATCGATTTTCAAATTGGGATGCGCTGTGGTACGCGCCCTTAATGAAGCCCCTTGAGCCTCATGGATATCTGGCAGTGCACCCCACTCCACTATGTTTTGGAGTACACAGTGGTGCACTCCTAAACATAGTGGAGCGGGGTGCAGATGATGGAGTGCGTGGCTGTGTACTCCAAAGTCATTGGAGTGACCACAGGTGCACTCCACAGAGCACTGCTCCAAAGTGGAGATTGAAGTACACATGGGCTCTGCCTCCAATTAGCCTGGAGTACACCATGGCACACTCCAGAAATTTTGGAGTGCACATTCACACACACCTTTTTTTTTGGCCTGCACGGTTTTTTTTGGAGTGCAAAAAGGCGGACCCAAAAAAATTGGGCAAATCAGCACTGAACCAGCAGATGGAAACAGCATGATCACTAAACTTGGCTGGGATATCCCCATATTTTGAGAGAAAATGATAGCAACCAGCAACCGACAAGCAAGTTCTTTTTTCAGACAAGCTATCAATTTTACTATAAAATTTTATCAAACCAGCAATATAGCAGCTGATCAGCAGACTGGCTAAAAAGCCAGACATGAACCGTCCTATTTTGGTATTCCTGAACAATCTGTACAACATTTTGATTTTTGAAAAAAAAAAATTGACAAACTTATACTTTAAATGGGCTTCAAAATTTTACAAATTTCAACTATGAACCCCACCAATTGATGTAGGTTTTTTGAGATCAATAACTTTATTGCAGAAACTAATTTCTGAAGCTAGTGGTAGTTAACACTGTAATAAATGAAAAGATTGAGAAAGAATCAATAAAAGAAAAAGAAAAAAGGCATAAGAAAAATAAAGCCAGTGCATAATTGAAGGAGTGAAATTATGTACCTTCTTATATGTCAGATCCTTACTTGAACCCAAAATAGATTATTTATGGAAGATTGTAAATAGGAGAAATGTAAAGACAAACATGCATGAAATAATAACATAAGTCAATGACAATTTTATAAGCAATGAAATAAAAAGGAGAAATAATCAATAGATAAAATAGGAAAAGACATGAACACAAAGAGAAAAAAGAGAAAGCACCTCCACTTGAGTCTAAACTGGGCTCCTCCTGAATATATTAAATCTAAATTGATTTTTGGGTTTTGGAATACGGACTTGCAATCAGGGACGTGGGTTGAAAGTTGATTGAGGGCTTGCTTGTGTTTGACGGAGTAAGACACAAAAAACTAGTTCAATGCTGGAAGACTGAAAGGCGGACCTCGAACTTGAAAATGGAGAAGAAGAATTGCTGCGGAACAGTCACTATGAATATTTGTCTTGCTGATTAGAATCATTTGCCAACAATTGATTAACTGTCTCATGGATGAGGGGAATATTTGGATATTTGAATATTTTCAATGCTTTCTTCTTTCATGTTGTCAGTGGAGTACTTCCTGTCACAAATTAGAGTGTTTCTTTAGACCCCACTCAGTTCTAAATCAATACTCTAATTAAAACCACGACTAACTCACATGAAAGCCATCACAACAGGGCTTATGAAAAAAAAAAGCTTGAAGTGAGAATTCTGCAAGGGTTCTAAATCCCAAGGGGAAGTCATCCAGTTAAGCATTTGGAATCTGGAATTTTGAAAAGGCTGTTGTGCAAACTGACACACATCATTACCTTCAGCAGATCAGCATGAATTCAATGCTAATACACCAAATCAGCAAGCAGGAACTTGATTTGAAAATAACAGAATCTTATTCACATGTCATGAGCTGTCCTGTTTATTAGAAATAGATCTTTCTTTTGGTGATGTTGGGTACATACAAGCATCCACATCTAAGTTTATTTCTGGTTGGCTATGTGTATCTCCCAAACCCAGGAAAATCTGTGATCTAATTGTCCTTGCTGAGATTCCATTGTTTGTATTAACTCCCTTCAAGTTCCATTGTCCTGTAAGACCAAGAACTTAAAAGATTTATTCTTCAATGATTTCAGTGTAGAAAATCCAAACATTCAACAGACAAGGGCAATGTCAGTGGACCAAGAGATTGTAAACATGAGTACTTGGGAGACAGAGGTGGAATCTTTCTTTTTCTGGATGATGATAAAGTTTTCAAACAGAGATAATTATGGTACAGTGTTGCTCTCTCCTACATGCCCAAAGTGATAGCCAAAATGGGTGGTTGTGACTCATGATTTTCAAATCCTTCTACATATGGTGCACATTCTCAGTCCAAGTTGATGGTAGGGCTTTGGCTTTAATGAAGCAAAGGCTTGACGGAGCAGTCTTGGACTCTTGGTACGATATAGAGTTCAGCCCATCTTCACACTTGCTATTCCTTTCATCTGGAGATGGTGTCAGCTGTAAGTAATCAGCCGGAAGAGTACATTGTTAAATGTGTATCGTACAAGCAGTCACCTTAGAGACGCAGGGCAAGACAACTGGACTACGGATCAAATGTTTTGTATCCTATCAACGATGTGAATCCATGATCCGCATTCCGCGCCGGGTCTACGAATAGTAAGCCCGCCGCGCTGACAAAGAGGGTTTCCGGCTCGAGCGATCGGGCAGATGCACAGCCGCAGCGCCCACAGATTTCAGCAGCGAATGAAAATTTTTGTCAGTCTCACTTGTTTCATTTTAAGCTTCCCCGGCAATCCGACCGGAGCGAGACCCCCCAGGGCTACAGATTTAATCCCTGCTCGAGCGACCCAGTGCCTCCCCCTCCCCCCTTCCTCCCTTCCCCCCAGTGAACTCCCACAGACTCACCCACCATCCTCACTCCCATCTTAGCATATTACTACTCCCAACACACTACTACTCACACGTAAGTCATAAATAAGCACTCCATCCCCATCCCCATCCCCCATCCCCCATCCTCAGATAGCCAGCCAGCCACTTGCCCAGATAAACCCTCCCAAAGCCCTGGCTCCATCAGCCAATCGATCTTCATCCCAGAGCTGTTTTATCCCTTCAACTCAACTGACACCGTGCTACCTGTCCTATCGTTTCAGATCCCTAATCTACTTCTACAATGGGTAAAGAGAAAAACCACGTCAACGTCGTCGTCATCGGACATGTCGATTCGTAAGTCATACCATCATCACCTCCAAATATCATACCCAGCACTTGTCCTAACCACACTCCCTGACCCCATCTGTGCTCAGTGGTAAATCCACCACCACCGGCCACTTGATCTACAAGTGCGGTGGTATTGACAAGCGAACGATCGAAAAGTTCGAGAAGGAAGCCGCCGAACTGGGTAAAGGATCCTTCAAGTGAGCTTTATCTTCTGCTTCCTATCTTGGACCTCCTTGTGTTCGTCTACTGAGATAGTCTATCATAGGTACGCATGGGTGCTTGACAAGCTGAAAGCCGAGCGTGAGCGTGGTATCACCATCGACATTGCCGTGAGTCGATCCTGAGCTTGTGAGGACTCTCATGCGGCCTGCTGACCATTCCCACTACAGTTGTGGAAGTTTGAAACCCCCAAGTACTACGTCACCGTCATTGATGCCCCCGGACATCGTGATTTTATCAAAAACATGATCACTGGTACCTCCCAAGCCGATTGTGCTATCCTCATCATCGCCGCCGGTACTGGTGAATTCGAAGCTGGTATCTCCAAGGATGGCCAGACTCGTGAACACGCCCTCCTAGCCTTCACCCTTGGTGTCCGACAACTCATCGTTGCCATCAACAAGATGGACACCACCAAATGGTCCGAGCAGAGGTTTGTTTTTTTATCCCCTCTTCACTCCTTGCCCCTCTCATCTAACTTATCTTCTGCCACCAGATACGAGGAAATCGTCAAGGAAACCTCCAACTTCGTCAAGAAGGTCGGGTACAACCCCAAATCTATCGCCTTTGTCCCCATCTCGGGATGGCACGGTGACAACATGTTGGAGGAGTCCACCAACATGGGCTGGTTCAAGGGATGGACCAAGGAGGTATGTTTAACTCTCATCCCACCGTCTGACCTACTCGAAGCTGACCCTCCGTGACATTAGACCAAGGCTGGTGTTTCCAAAGGAAAGACCCTCCTCGATGCTATTGATGCCATCGAACCTCCAAGCCGACCCACCGACAAGCCCCTCCGACTTCCTCTCCAGGATGTCTACAAGATTGGTGGTATCGGTACGGTACCTGTTGGTCGTGTTGAAACCGGTACCATCAAAGCTGGTATGGTTGTTACCTTCGCCCCTGCCAACGTGACGACTGAAGTCAAGTCTGTTGAGATGCACCACGAACAATTGGAGGCTGGTATGCCAGGTGACAATGTCGGTTTCAAGTAAGTTCCCATTTGTCTGAAGCCCCTTTTTTCACCTCGTGCTCATGCCTCGCGTCCTTTAGCGTCAAGAACGTTTCCGTCAAGGATATCCGTCGAGGAAATGTTTGCGGTGACACCAAATGTGACCCCCCGAAGGAAGCCGCATCCTTCGTTGCCCAGGTCATCGTTTTGAACCACCCCGGTCAAATCGGAAATGGTTACTGCCCCGTACTTGATTGTCACACCGCCCACATTGCATGCAAGTTCGACACTCTCCAGCAGAAGATCGACCGACGTACTGGTAAGGCTTTGGAAGAGGCCCCCAAATGTTGGTTGCATTTCCCCTGCCTTTCCCTGCTTTCATTGAACTAATCTTACTTCTTTCTTAGTCGTCAAATCCGGTGACGCTTGCCTTGTCAAGATGGTCCCTTCCAAGGCCATGTGTGTCGAGCCCTTCGCCGACTACCCCCCTCTCGGTCGTTTCGCCGTCCGTGACATGAGACAGACTGTTGCCGTCGGTGTCATCAAGAGCGTCGAGAAGACGGATGGCAAGGCCGGAAAGGTCACCAAGGCCGCCGTCAAGGCCGGTGCCAAGAAGTGTAAGTTTACCATGCTCATGTTTCCTCCTACCCCTTACTGATCTCTCCCTCCTCCGATCAACAGAGTTACGCTCGGTAGCATCCAAAATTGAACATGGCATGCTCCCTCCAAAAGAACGGTTCAGCATGTGGTCACAAAAATTAATAGGTTTTCAGGATCGCTTCTGGCGTTTTTACCACCGGCACTTTCGGATACGAAGTTGTACGAACTTTAGCATGTTTTCTACATTCCTTTAACGTTGTAGTTGTTCATTCTTCGCTGCCCAGCCACTACTTCAGTTGCCAATGACATACTTCCATGGTATCAAACTCACTTGACTAGCGCGTCAAAGCACGCTTGCCCCTATTTCCCACCCTCATGAGATGATTGCACCAGCCAGTCAAGGTCATTTTGGTCAAACTTGCCTACCGAACCCCGGGCTTGTAGGTGTTGCCCGCGTCTGACCAAGCGCTGGTGGGTCAGCCTGCGCATTACCCAATAGCATCACACAAGCCTCTCGAGTTAGAGCCCCCCACCCCCTCCCCGCAGGTTATCCGCACATAGAGAGGCTTGTGTCCGAAGCCAAACTTCTGGTGTGGCTCCTGAAACACATGAGGAATCTCATGTTTTGATTAGACAGAGAATCAAAAAGTGCAGGCAACAAGATCTCGCGAAGCGCGACCTCCGCAGGAAAGACTTGCAGCTACTGGTTGTCATTGGTGGCGCGCTATGTAGGAATTTGATATTTAAAAAAAAAAAATCAAATTTCGAGTAATCCTCTGTTTCCTCACAACTCTAGACTGATTCCTCTTGCCAAGTGAATCAGTTGTGTGCCATTTCAAAATGATCAAAATCCCCTCCTGCCTTCATTATGATCAAAACCATCCCAATCTGGATTCCTGGCCCTGGCTCAGGGGGAGGATTGGCATGAAACCCTAAACTGCCCTTGGGTTTGTTTTGGTTGAACAACCAGCTATCACTCTATGTCAGCTGCACCGTGTGATTATATGATTGCTTATTTTGTAAAAAGCCATTACCTTCTTTTTCCTTTGGAGCTCCATTGGAACCAGAGATTACAAGATGGCAAGGTAAAAATAAGACAAGGTAATATCCATGTATCTTGGCTCTCATTTTGATTAATCCACCCTACAAAAGTGTGGTGGGGGGATGTAAAAGGTGATGTAGAAAAAGATCCTACTGAATTGAGCTCAAATTATTTTCCTGGCATTGCACCACTTAGGTATAAGTCCCTCCTTTGGGCTCTCCTCAGAGGGACTTGAATAAGATTAAAAATAAAGCCAAGCTGAGAAAGCTGATGGTTTTGGTACACAGCAGGGTGACTTGAATTTTGTTGGTTTGCCTGCCTGACACCCAGTGGGTGTCTCTGACCAAACAACAGGCCTACATAGCACTCCAAAAGCATCCCTATGTCAAGCCATCATAGTGCTGCAACAGTAGTACAGGGAGAATGATGGTGAGTTTGTTGACTTTTTACAAATGCACTTTACATGGTTCCAAAGCAAGTTTATCTCTCATAAAGTATTGCAAAAGATAATTATTGCTTTGGAACCATGTAATTATGTGGTGTGGTGTTCAACTGGCTGAGAGCATCTCCACCGCGGTCCGTATTTTTGGGTCCCTATCAATCAAAAATACGGACTCGGGAATGCAGATAGGGACTCGCAGACTTTTTGTGCCACACTGGGCAGTCTGTAAATCAACATGACATGCGAGTATTGGTGCGGTGTTGGCAAGATGTTACTTGAGGTTGTGGTGTGTGGTGTGTGACATTTACATTGAGGTGTGCTGTGAGTGCACAATCCTCTGTCCCTATCCAATCCCTGGATCCAGGGTCTGGAGAGGGACCAAGGATGAAATCCGTAAAATATGGACGACGATGGGGACCGCGGTGGGCGGTGTTTTTTGGGCCGCGGTCCCTAAATGCGGGATAGGGACCCGATTTAGGGACTGCGGTGGAGATGCTCTGATAGTCATTGGAAATTGCCATGTGTTGGTCAGGTTCACACACATATATCCTCACAACCTCCATCAAATTGAACACCACATATCATTTTTTTAGTATCATTAAATAATTATATTGACTTGAATGAGTTGGTTCCATTCATACTGAGTGAATTTGAAAAAATTTAACAAAGTAACCATCATTCCTCATTCAAGTCCTTCACTGTTTGTTGTAGAGATGGTTGCAGATATCCGTTATCCACTGGTGGATACCCGCCAGCAGGTGCAGATGTCCCCTTCCCCCTGAAATCCTGGCGGATATCCCAAGGGATACCCGGTGCCAAGAGAGGCCACACCGCTGGGAGGAATCCCTCCCGGCAAGCTGGTGTACATACCAGCTTGTTGGAAGGGATCCCTTCTGGCGAGCTGGTACACAATCCAGCTTGTCAGGAGGAATCCCTCCCGGCGAGCTGGATTGTGTATCAGCTCTATGGGAGGGATTCCTCCTGACAAGCTGGTTTGAAAATCAGCTCTCTGGGAGGGATTCCTCCTGACAAGCTGGTTTGAAAACCAGCTCTCTGGGAGGGATTCCTCCTGACAAGCTGGTTTGAAAACCAGCTCTCTGGGAGGGATTCCTCCTGACAAGCTGGTTTGAAAACCAGCTCTCCAGGAGGAACCGCTCTTGCCGAGCTGGCATGTAGACGCTTGCTGGGAGAGGTTCCTCCCAACGGTGTGGCCTTTGTGTCTGTAGGCAGAGGGGGGCCTGTTTTTTTTTTTTTTTTTCTTTTTTTTGAAAAACAAATCCCCTGAGTGATCATGTACAGTGGGTGGACCGTTATTTTTGGCTGCTTGTTTTGGATCCCAGAGCTTCAAGGCACCAGATTGAAGCCATGGGACTTGGTCAATTTGTGCAGAATAGGTCCCAAAAAAATGAATCTGAAAAAATAAAACAAAAACAATGTTTCAAATTTGTGAAAAATAAAAAATTAAATTTGTTTTCTCAAAAGCTTTGAAAGTCATTTTGGGGGAGTGAGAGTGCTGAGAGAAAAGGAAGATTGGGATATTAGAAGAATGATTATGAATGAAAATTTTGGAAAAATTGCTTTCCAGATGGCTTCAAAGAGCTGTTGATTGGGGCATTCACCAGCCCACATTGCAGCAAAGCACTAGTATTTACTGTTTTGGCTCCAATCTGGACAACCAACCTGGCCAAACCTTTTTTGGTTCTAATTTTTTTCATTTATAATCATTCTTCCCATGGTCCCCTCTTTCTTTCTCTCAGTACTCCCACTCCCCCAAAATGAATATCAAAGCTTTTGAAAAAAATGAGTTTTATTCTTTATTTTTCACAAATTTTGAAACTTTACTTTTTGTTTTTATTTTTTCATATTCATTTTCTGGGACCTATTATGCACCACCTGAACGATGTAAGACTCAAAAAGTGGTTGTAAGACCCTTTTTGCTGAATGGAGAAGGGGATGGTGGAGGTGCAAGCTCTGCCCTTCTATACTATCAGATAACAAGACCCACCAAGCTCAGCTTGGCAAGTTTTAATCAAGTGATAGGGTAAGTTCAGGAATGAGTTTGTGTGATGCTGAGAATGAGTTGAGTTGTTATTGGTGTTGGGTAAGGTTCTGTAAAGGTGGTGTATCTGTGATTGAGTGGTACTAAACTGTGACTGATGAATAATACACTGAGGAGACAACAACTGGGAGGAGAGCCTCCTTATATAGAAAATAGTGAGGGAATTTAGCTCCAGGGCAGCCAGCAATGAGTGATTTTGGCTGGCCTGGGCTATTACATGAGGTATTTTTAGCTACATACAAAATTTGAATGAGTGAATGTGATTGGTCAGACATGTACAAGAGTTGAAGTGGTGATCCAAGCAGCTGAATGAGTGATTCTGATTGGTCAGGTTCTGATGTGTTTACAAGTGAGTGTGGTGGTGTGAGCTGCAGCTGTCATGCATGGAAAATACACTAATTTAGGCTGCAGGTATGATGCAATATGTAGAAGTGAAATGTAAAGAGTGTAGATGTATGTAAATGAGTGTATATGTAAATGAGTGTGTACTGTACTGAGGGTGTCTGTGTAGCTTGAGGGTTGTAATTGGGTTTGGTGATATGTAATGATGGGTGAAATCCTTGTGATATGTTGTCCAGTGTTGGGTAAGAGTTGATCCAGGTGTGTTCCAGTGACGCCTCCGTGGTGACCAAGGGTGAATTTATCCGTAGAGTCCAGTTCTTGAGCCATATGGTGTGAATTCTGAGAGTGATTGGGTGATAATATGAAGAAATATATATATAAGAAAAGAAAAGAAAAAAACTTTTAATTCTTCACATTTTTGACTACCACAGCCTCCCCCAACTTATTGTCTGTCCCCAGACAATTTACCAGGAGAAAATGGGAAGAAAATAGAGAAAGAGTTGATTTTTAACCTGAAATGAAGTAAAAAAGGGTAGTGGGTATTTGGAGGAAAAAGCTTGAAAAAAATGAGTGTGGCCGGAGAAAGAGTGTGATAGCCTCCCCCAACTTTGCAGTGGAGCCAAGCTGGGGTAGCCGTATTTGTGATTTTTAAACTTAAACTTAATTTTTTACAGTTTATTTAACAGGGTCTCCCCTGTGAATGTCAGCCTCAGGGTCCCTGTGTACCCCCCTTCTGCCCAAAGTGCACAGGTGGGGGGGCATTTTTATTTATTTTTATTTTATTTTTATTTTTATATTTTTATATTTTTATATTTTTTTTTACATACAAAGTTTGATTTTGCTGCGCCCTGTGCGCAGCTGCGCAGCATTGGACGTCTGGATAACCGCTCTGTCGACGTAGAGTGGCTGGATAGCTTGGTTTAGCTGCAAATCCCCTTGGGAGGGGCCCAAGGGGTTTTCTGATCGTTCGGGGTCGCGCGAGGTTGAGAGAGAGCTGTGTTGTTGTTGGGGTAAGGTTTAAGGTGTAGTTTGTTTATTTCTAAAGTATTTAGTAAACCAATAAAGTAGAAAGGGGACAAAGGTGTTGGTGGTAGTTGTTGTGGGTATGTGTGTGTGTGTGTGTGTTGGTATGTGAGGGGATAAGATGAGATGATAAAGTGAATGGATTTGAGATACAAAAATGGGGGAAAAGGGAACTGATATTTATACAAGAATATTGCTGCTAAGACATTGGTCTCAGCAGCCTGCTTTCTTGTGGAGAAAGCTCCATGAGACATTTTATCCAGGAGGAAAGTACTGGTGTACTTTCTTCTGGGGAAAGTAAACTTTTGCTTTCAGAAAATGAAAGTAAAGATTTACTTTTTCTTTTTAAAGGGAATGCTCCAGTTCTCTGGTGCATTACTTCTTTTATTGCTTTCTGATACACCATGCTCAGCAGGTGTGGCAGCAGGCACATCACCGCTGATGCCATTGCTGCTTGTATTCCCTTCTACAGGGATTACACCTTCAACACCCCCCCTTAATCCTGTAGGAGGTGATAAACTAAGACTGAAACTGAATTTTATATGCTTAACTCTGTCTAAAGCTTTGGTCATAATGTCAGCTGTCATATCAGCTGTTGGAATATATTCCAAGACTATTTCTTTGTATTTAACAGCTTCTCTGATATAATTGTAGTGAACATCAATATGCTTTGTTCTTGAGTGGAATACTGGGTTACTTGCCAGTTTGATTGCTCCTTGATTATCTGAGAATAATATTGAGTATTTTTGTATTTTATAAGTGTCTTCTAACATCTTTCTTATCCATTTTGATTCTTGTGCTGCAGATAAATAGGCTCTGTATTCTGATTCTGTGGATGATAGACTTATTGCTGAAATCTTCTTGGATCTCCATGAAATGAGATTTTTCCCAAGGAAATAAGTGAATCCACTTGTGGATTGTTTCAAGTCATTTTCAGCCCAGCTAGAATCAGAATATCCTACAAGGTTGAAATCTTCACCCTTGGAATATTCAAGTCCTAAGCTTTGAGTTCCTTTTAGATATCTCAGACATCTCTTGAAGGCTTGCCAATGCTTTATTCCTGGCTTCTCTAGGAACTGAGACAATATTCCTACAGTATAGGTTATATCTGGTCTGGTGCATTGTGACAGGTAATTTAAACATCCTATGGCAGCTCTATAATCATGTTCAGTTTTCTTAAAATCTATTATTTCTTCTTCTGTGGATTTTTCCAACTTGATATTAGATTGAATAGGGGTTCCAAATGTTTTAGCATCTTCCATGTTATATTTAGTCAATAAAGCCTTCACATAATGTTCTTGGTCAACTCTGATTGATCCATCTGATTTATGTGTAATCTTCATTCCTAAGACATGTTGTGCTTTGCCTAAGTCTTTAATTTTGAAATCTTGCTTAATCATTTTTAACAGTTGCTCTTTCTCTGGTCCTATGACAATTATGTCATCAACCCATACAAATAGTATTGTGCCATTTTTGGTGAATAAACATGGGTCTGCTTCACTTATCTGAAATCCTTTATTTTCCAACCAGCTGGACATGGTATTGTACCAAGATCTTGCTGATTGTTTCAAACCATATAGTGACTTCTTGAGCTTCATGATGTAATCATTATTACCCCCCCTCAAGAAGTTATCTATATTTTGTTTTCTAAGAGTTTCTGGCTTGGTTTCAATTAACCATTCCTTAAATCCTTCTGGGATATGCATGTAGACAGTTTCATCTTCTTCTAAAGTGGCATTGAGATATGCTGTTACAAAATCAGCTTGTCTGATTTCCTCTCCTGTTTCTACAGCAAGAGCCATTAGATACCTTAAAGTTGACAATCTTCCTGTTGGGGAGAATGTTTCTTGGTAATCAATGCCTTCTTTCTGTTTAAATCCTTGAGCAACACATCTTGCTTTGTATCTTTTCAATTCTCCTAACTCATTGAATTTCTGAGTTAATACCCATCTGCTTCCAACCAAAGTTTTCTCTTTCTTTACATCAGATCTTTCTATGATCTCAAATACTTGGTTGTTTTCTAATGAATCTAATTCTTCAAAAATAGCAGTTTTCCATTTTTGCTTGTCAGGCAGCTTCATTGCTTGTTTGTAACTATTTGGAACAACTCTGTTTTCCATTTCAAATGAAGCTTGGTATGCCATGGCCTGTTGTTCTTCTTCTACCAGTTCTTCTAAATCTTCAATGTAGGCACAATTGGCTCTCCATTTGCCATATTTGTCCTCAAGGTTCTTTATTCTTTCACTTCTTCTGACTGGTACTACAGGTTTAATGACCTCTTTAGCTTGTGGTTTTTCCTTTGTTTGTATTATTTCAGTAGTACTATCTTTGACTGGTAAAATGGGATTTTCCCAAACATCTTCAATGACTTTCTTTAAGGGAAAGACATCTTCTTGGAATCTTACATCTCTGGTTCTTATGACCTTTCTTTTTTCAGGATCATATATCCTGTAGCATGTACTTAATTGGTCATATCCAATCATTATTCCTTTACTACTTCTGGATTCTAACTTCCCAATTTTTCCATAGTGGCTAATATTATAGTAAACTAGACATCCTATGGTTCTTAGTTTCTTATTATTGGGAACTTCTTTCATGAACATTTCAAATGGACAACCTCTCTTTGTTTCAACTACATTATGTAAGTAGCTCACTGTGGACAATATTTCTGCCCACAAGTATTTTGGGAGGCTAGCATCAATCATAATTGTCCTGACTCTTTCCATAAGAGTCCTGTTCATTCTTTCTACTACTCCATTATTCTGAGGAGTATGAGGGGTGGTTTGTATATGAGTAATCCCAAAATCTCTTAATACATCTTGGAATTCTTCTCCAATGAATTCCCCACCTCCATCAGTAATTATCTTTTTAAGATTCTTTAGGATTCCCATTCTGTGCCACTTTTTTAGTAAATTCATGACTTCTTCTGCTGTATCACTTTTACTTCTGATGGGCTTTACCCAAGTGAAATTACTAGCAGTATCAACTAAATTGATAAAATATTTGGCTCCCCCTAATGATGCTGGACTAAAGGGGCCTGCCAAATCTATGGAGTATTCTTCTCCAACTTTAACTGTCCTATTTCTTGACTTTGAAAATTTATTCCTAGTCATTCTGCCAAATTTGCAGCTTTCACAGTTTTCATCAGTCACCTTGTGACCTGATCTTCTGTGCATGATGGAAGAGTAAACACTGGCTTCTATTGGCTTTAAATTAGCATGTAGTAGTTTTGATTTGACCTCTCCATCAAAGATAATTTTATCTTTCTTTTTCATGTGGAACATTTTTCCAGAATTCTCAATTTGGATTCCATGGTTCCACAAACTAGTTAATGATAACAAGTTGTATGGTAAATCTGGGACAAAGTACACTGTTTTAAGCTCTATTATCTTGTTGCTACTGGAAATAAGTTTAACATTGCCTTTTCCTTCAATCTTTATTGATCTGCCTTTTTCGCCAATATTTACATTGCCATTACATACAATAAAGTTACTGAAGAATTTCTTCTGGTTAAACATATGGTCAGTACAGCCTGAATCAACTAAAATCCCACTAGATCCTCTGTCTGTGTGTGATAATAGGCCAAAGTTAATAATTTGAACAGAATTGTCCACAGAATTTGGTTTAATGGTTTTACTCACATCAGCTTCATAGCCAGAGTTAGATTGAGCACCAGTTGCTTCTTCTGGTTCCTCCTCTTCTATTGGGAGTGGGACTCTTTTGAAAACATCATCTTGGATGTATCCATCCATGTCAACATTCTCAGTGAAGTTGGCTTTTTTCGCCATCAAACTGGTCACCTCTTCTTCTTCATAGTCGTCTTCATTACTACGGGCTATGAAGGTTTTATTTTGTTTTTTGTAACGAGGGTTTTCGGGTTCGTCCGACCAGCAATCTTTTGCGATATGACCAAGTTTGTTACACTTGTAACACTTCGGTCGTTGTTTCTTGTCATTTTTGCTGTAGTTTTTCTTGTAGGGTTTTTTAGTGTAGAGGGCTTCGACGTCCTTCTCGCGAGTATTGAATTGGATTTGATCCTTTTCAATTCGCTTGAGGACATCTTCTTCGCTTGGAATCGGTTCCATCTGCGATATAATCCGGACAAGCGATTCGTAGGCGCGGGGTAGTTTCTGTAAGATAGTGAGTGACAAACACTCCGAATCCATGTTCAGCCCAGCTGCTCGGAGCCGCGAGATTGATCCTCTGACATCGTTGACAAACTGTGTGGTGTCAGCGAACTTGATTTGGTTTAGATTATTGAAGGCCACACTTTTCGCGTGGGTAGTATTACCAGCAAACTTGTTTTTTAGCAAGTTCCAGGCGACTGAGCCTGTTCCTTTGTCTTCAGTCTTGATGACATTGGCAAGGTAGCCAAGTACCTCTTCGCTCAGGTAGCGAACAATAAGGTGGTAACCTTTCTTTTCCTTTTCCGGCGATCGTTCATCCGCGCTATCGGATGTCACTTCAAGACAGCCTATGTTGTCGAGTTCACTCTCCATGAGAGTGGACCAGACATGGTAGTTGCTGTTATTCAAGAGGATCCGAGGTGTTGATTGGTACTGGTTGGTCGACGAGTTAGACATGTTTTCTAAAAAAAAATCCAAAGGTGGTAAAAATTAAGGTAGTCCGTACTGATAATGTGTTGTTGTTGGGGTAAGGTTTAAGGTGTAGTTTGTTTATTTCTAAAGTATTTAGTAAACCAATAAAGTAGAAAGGGGACAAAGGTGTTGGTGGTAGTTGTTGTGGGTATGTGTGTGTGTGTGTGTGTTGGTATGTGAGGGGATAAGATGAGATGATAAAGTGAATGGATAAGAGATACAAAATGGGGGAAAAGGGAACTGGTATTTATACAAGAATATTGCTGCTAAGACATTGGTCTCAGCAGCCTGCTTTCTTGTGGAGAAAGCTCCATGAGACATTTTATCCAGGAGGAAAGTACTGGTGTACTTTCTTCTGGGGAAAGTAAACTTTTGCTTTCAGAAAATGAAAGTAAAGATTTACTTTTTCTTTTTAAAGGGAATGCTCCAGTTCTCTGGTGCATTACTTCTTTTATTGCTTTCTGATACACCATGCTCAGCAGGTGTGGCAGCAGGCTCATCACCGCTGAGGCCATTGCTGCTTGTATTCCCTTCTACAGGGATTACACCTTCAACAAGCTGCGCCGCAGTCAAGAGCGCCAAGTCGCGGGTGCCTCGTTCCGTGTGCGCCGTTCCGATCCGGTTTTGAGCTCACTAGAAGCATTCAGTCAGCCGATGCTGATTTCGATTCCGGTCAATACCGCCGACATCCTCGACCAATTCCCGGCTTCCGATTTCTTCCACGGTCTTCGATCGGATTTGCGGTGCATCAAGTGACAGGTAGGTGACTTTTTATCTTTTCTTCTAAAAAGTTCTATTAGCACTGAGTCCTGCCTTTCTATTGGTCAGGACTCATCGGTTTTGCTTCGCTTTTCTTCCACCCGCCAAATCGAGCACGGTGATTGGCTAGGATCGGCTTATCGCGGGGTGTAGCGCGTTGCAAGGTCGCTTTCAAGAATCAGGTGAGCTTCGTTTTGCTTTTCTCCTCGGCTGTGCTGTGCACCGTCTAGATTACAAAAGAAGGCCTTGCCCCTTGTCATCGATCTATTTCACCCGCTGATTCATCTATCTCCGATTTGACCTCAACCTCGCCGCGCGTTTTACAAGCATAAGGCCCGCCGATATCAATATCAACTACCGCCACCGCCAAATCCCTCGACCGACTCCAGCTTCTTCTGGCGTTTCGGGGCGTGTTGCGTCGCGCAGTCGCTTCCTCAAGAGTCAGGTGAGTATTCACTTCCTTCAATCCTCGCTGTTGCTGTGTACTGTATATCTCCGATTTGACATCGGTTTTCTCATCGATCCAGTATGTAGGTCCTAGTAGTATCGATCCCGCCTCAAGAGGTTCCTGAGCCGGTTGAGGCCTTCCGAATCAAATCGCACGTATGTCCGACCATGTATTCCTCAATTTTTGCTGATCCGAGTCGAACACCGTCTCATATAAGCTATTTACTGAATTGGGACTCCTGTTGACGTCCTCTTCAGCGCTCGATCGAATGCGAAGCCTCCAATAAGAATAAATTTTAGATTGAAAAGCGATAGTCGGCCAAGGTGTTTGGTGAGTGTTTCCTGCTGTCTGTGGAGAGGCTAGTTAAGTAGTTCAAACCCTTTCCAGCACTTTTTTATAGTTAAAAAAAAAAAAAAAAAAAAAAAAAAAAACTGAAAATTTTAGATAGTGAACAATAGAAATGCATCACCCCTCCCCCAACTTTGCAGGTTGTCCTCAACCTGAGAAGAGTGGTCCAAGCCTATAAGTGAGTGAGAGATTAAGGTGAGCAGCAAAGATGGAAGAAGGCAGAAAAAAAGTTGGTCCAAAAAAGAATTTTTCAGGAAAGAAAAGTTGGAAGAATGGTGAGTCTCTACAGGATAGTCTTGAGGAAGAGAAGATGTAAAGGGAAGGGTAAGAGTAAGAATAAGGCAAGATAAGGGACTAGAGTGGTATGTAATTGTTGGTAGCAAAAAATGAAGTTTCGACAGATGATGGGTAAGAAAAGAAAGAATTTTTAAGTTAAGGTTTTTGGTTTTATGGTCATGAAAAGGGAGCAAGAAATGTGGCAGTATTGAACTTGTGAGATAATTAAGAGGTATATGGAAGGAGGGTGCTAGTAATGAATGATGTATAAAGGAATGTAAGTCCTCCCCCAACTTAAAAAAGTAATCATCTGCCTGATTTGAAAGAATTTTGAGCTTAAATTTTTGTAATTTGATGTGTTTGTGAACAGTTTAGTCTCATGCCCAGGAGGTGGCCCAATTTTTTTATGAGGTTTTTTAAGGTGTAAAAAAAATTTAAACAGGGAAGTATAAGGTTCTGTGAATGAAGTAATGTGAATGAAGTAAGGGGGAATGTTGAAAGAGAGGATGATAAAAGAGTGTGAGTTCCTCCCCCAACTTAAAAAATATTCTGATGTTGCATTCTTGAAGGCTGATATCTTCTTGAATTTGACAGAAAAATATTTTGAAAGGAATTTTATTTAAATTTTTAACCAACTCCAACCAGTAGCCTTGGGAGCTTGATGTTTGTTGAATTCATTTGAAGAGGATCTGGTGAAATTGGTATGGCTAACTGAGGAAAGAGCTTCTGAATTAAGTAAATTAGAAGAAATAATTCCCTTGATAATTTAGAAGGAGCAATATTGTTGATTGGTAACTTTGATAATTGTCTAGTTTTCCAGTTTGCTTCCTTACTTGGATTAATCAATGTTGCTGTAATATCTGGCGGATCCGGCGGTGTTGGAATTGAAAAGACTTTTTCAGGAATTAGAGATGGTCACTTTGCATCCGGATATCCGTTCAGATCCGGATATCCGCTCATAATTTCAGTGGAATTAGGCAATTCTGCTGAAATTAAGAGCGGATATCCGGATGCAAAGTGACCATCTCTATCAGGAATTGATGCGGTTGAAATTGATGGTGTAAATGGTTGGCTGGAAATAGGCAAGTCTGTTGTTTCAAGATTTTCAGGAGCCAATGGGGAATGAACACTAATAATCTTGTCTTTTGGTTCTTCAATTTGTGTATTCTTGAAATCCAGGTGTTGAGAATTGTGTTTATTGATCCGCAAAAGTCCAAATAGGTCCAAGTGAGGCTTAAATAGTTGCTTGTTGAAGATCTCAATTTCCAAATATTTGTAGATATTGTGAATCCAAAATTTACTGGGGATTCTAGGAATTTTGTGGTCTTCCTTGGAGTTTTCCGCAAGTAGTAAATTTTGAATCTTCACTGGATTGATTTTGAATGATGGCAACTGATCCAAAGTTTCTGGTTGAGTTGATTGATCCAAGATTTCTTCCTGATCCACGTTGTTTTCTGTATTGGGTTCATCTAGAACTATATCCGGGATTTTGATTACTGTATGTACAAGCTCCATTGGTGTATCCATTACGTTTATTGATGCCGCTTTCCATTCTTCCAGATCCAGTAGTTCGTTAGTTGTGACTGGTTCTGTCATGTTCATTGAGGCCACGGGTATGGTGACATCCATTGGCTTTTCTGTATCAGCAATGGTGAGTTCCGTATAATTTGCTCCTGGCTCCGTATGATCCGTCACTAGTTCTGTATAATCCGTTGCTGGCTCCGTATATTCCTTTGCTAGTTCCGTATCTTCCGTCACTGGTTCCGTATATTCTGTTGCTGGCTCCGTATGATTGATTGCTAGTTCTGTATAATCTGTCGCTAGTTCCGTATTTTCCGTCGCTAGTTCCGTATGTTCCGTCGCTAGTTCCGTATATTCCTTTGCTGGCTCCAATTGGGACAAAGGATGTGGAGTGTTGCATATGACAGGTGATTGTGACTCTTGAAGTTGTTGTTTGAGTGCCTCAAGTTCCTTGGCTAATTCTTTCAATTTGATCTCCACCCCAGCCGCCTCCGTAAGGTGTTCCCAAAGAGGGGCTAACCTGGATCCATCGGGTGCTTGTGGAAGTTGACCATTTGATTTAATTCCGTTTGATATTTCTCTGGAGTTCTTGAGGAAAGGAACTGATGAAAAGAACTAAGGCATCCTGTCTACTTCTCAATTGTTTCTGGATGAGGAGGAAATCAAGTATTTTGGAAAAATTTTGAAGGTACGTCTGGAATGCTTGGTAGCTGACTGTTCTGTTATCTCTAGAAAATTCTTCAGAAAGGTTGACTAGATCAGTTGTTGTATACAGAAGTTCATATTCATCACCCCATAATTCAAACATTGAGGCCCGTAGAGTATCCCAGTCACATTCCTCGTATCCGTCCATGGACTCGATTTGACACTTCAGTTCCTCGGTTCGCACAAACCGTCCAATCTGTAGGGCTCGATCGTATTTGGTTGCATTAAGTGAATCCGCGGTCATCTCATATTGCCTCAAGAATTGCATGAAATGGTGTCCGTTGTAGAAAAGTCCAGGTTGTTCAATTAAAACTGGTTTGTTTTGGTTAGTTGGTTGTTGATAAATTGGTTCCTGTTGTTTGGGTTGTTGATAAATTGGTTTGTCCATATCTAGGGTCTTGTCGATTCCAGTTCTGAATATAGGCAGATTTCCCGTCTTCTTGTCCTTCATCCAAGGTGGTGATAGCGCTGATGAGGACATCGTAGTTTCCGTATTTCGTTTTAAATTTGAAGTTGGCGAAAAAGGTCGTTTACTATAATTGGTTTGTGGAGCAAATAATTCTTCCATATCTGATGTACTGAACGGAGGACGCATGTTGATTTTGATTGATGTTCCTAGTTTTCCTTACTTGACGCTCCTTGGATACCTAAACAAACGGCTGCTCTGAAAAAGAAACAAATAAAACTTTGGTCGCTGGTTTCTTTACCAGGGCAAGCTTATGGCTTTCTTTTAAATAATAGATCAGTTAAATACTGGGAATTCTTCTTTTACAGAATCTACTTATCCAAATCCTTTGGGTACCTTTGCCCTTCTTTTGGTCTATAAGCAGCTGCTTTTTTTCGAATATTTCCTGAGTTGTCGTTGAACAGTATCCTAGTTATCCAGATCCTTCGATAATCTTCCTTCTTCTGGTTAATAACTGGCTGTCTTCTTCGAGTCCTCGTTTCAGTCGATTCCTACACTTTCTTTTCAGAGGTTGGTTGGTGGTGTCGTTGAATTGTTTGCTGAAGTTTGACTAGTTGATCAACAGAATAACTGAATATGCCGCTGAGTAGTCGCAAATATGGTTGATAAATTTGATCCGGTTCCCGCTGAAGTTAGTGATCCTTCGACGATTCCTTCTCGTTATTTGTTGAAATTCGATTACTTGATGTAGATCACACAAGTTTATCCTATCACGTTGGGGACTCCCTTGTAAGACTCAAAAAGTGGTTGTAAGACCCTTTTTGCTGAATGGAGAAGGGGATGGTGGAGGTGCAAGCTCTGCCCTTCTATACTATCAGATAACAAGACCCACCAAGCTCAGCTTGGCAAGTTTTAATCAAGTGATAGGGTAAGTTCAGGAATGAGTTTGTGTGATGCTGAGAATGAGTTGAGTTGTTATTGGTGTTGGTTAAGGTTCTGTAAAGGTGGTGTATCTGTGATTGAGTGGTACTAAACTGTGACTGATGAATAATACACTGAGGAGACAACAACTGGGAGGAGAGCCTCCTTATATAGAAAATAGTGAGGGAATTTAGCTCCAGGGCAGCCAGTAATGAGTGATTTTGGCTGGCCTGGGCTATTACATGAGGTATTTTTAGCTACATACAAAATTTGAATGAGTGAATGTGATTGGTCAGACATGTACAAGAGTTGAAGTGGTGATCCAAGCAGCTGAATGAGTGATTCTGATTGGTCAGGTTCTGATGTGTTTAC